AAAACAGATTACACAAAATTTTAACATAGTTTAAAATTGAAGGTATTTGTCAACTTGAAGTGCTATGGATTTTTTTAATACTGCCTTCTCTTTTTCTGTATCTGCCCCTTCAGATACAGGCTGCATTAAAAGAAGAGAAATAAATCTGCAACCCCCAGATGAGAGAGCTCAGCCAAGGTCTGATTCCCAGAGAAAGAATTTTTAATGTTTCCAAGGCACAAATGATGTTCCCTTCTGATAACAGAGGAGTCATTTAGAGCCAGTGGAGCAGGAGTGCAAAAGACTGTGGAACAGGCAGGGAAGGATGAAGTCTGTGGAAAAGGAGAATGCTTCAAACAACACTGTTATGGCGAATGGTCGTATGACAGTAAAATACCAGGAAAATGAATGCTACAGTGCTTAAGTTAGTTAGCACAGTTGCTGTTCTGATTAAAGCAAAAAGCAGAAGAGCAGTAAAACTTCAGCTAGCTCAGAAAGTCTTCTGGCTCACAGAAGGGCTTCCATCACATTTTCAACAGAGCATATCTTTCAAACCCCTATCGCAAGACGTATTAAAAGACAGGACAACACTCTTACAGCAGAGACCCCCCTCAGTTATAAGGGAGGATCCAACATTTGTTTTGCCTCTGAATTTGCCTTTATCCTCTCTCCAGGGAACATGCTTCAATTTCCAAGGAAACCCCTCCAGTTCTGATATCATCATCTCATGGAAGTAAACACTTATTGCTGACAAGAGTTAATACTGTGTTTTATATTGACTTTGGCAAAAATGCATCTTGGCTTGTGACAGCAAGAGCATGACATGTTTTGGATGCTTTTTTTATTCAGCAGAGCTCCTCTTCTTTGCTCAAGTACATAAGTATATCCCATGAGCATCACCTGTCTTCACAGTTTAAACAGCTTGTGTTAAGAAGAGCATGCTTTTCTCACTTTATCACATTCCCCAGATCCACATTTTCTATACAGCTTCAGATGACATGACTCTGGGGCATACTGTTATCATAATCACATTAAGTACATTGGAACTGTATGATGCATAAAATCTCACAGTCTGGCAGCACTGAAATCAGAGCCTGATGAACAGTCAGCTTGGCCAAAATTACAAGACATACAAATAAAACAGACCCCAAGACTAAAAAGCAAAGCAATGAAGTATGAGAACTCTCAGAAGCAGACTTTAACTCAAGACAGGGATAAAAACTTTCTGCTCCAGATTCATCCACCCCCACATGCTCAAATTAATTTAGTTCATTTTCCAATAAAATTACCCAATTTGCCAAATATCTCACAAAAATTGCCCTAGAAGGCTTAAAGCCTTTGTTGACAGTCCCAAATCTTCATTCTTTCTGATTGAAGGTCTCTGATATTAAATTTAAAAATCTTTTTTCCAGAAGTTTTTTGCCTGTAATTTATAGACAGAAATAAGTGTCATAGCATTCATTAGTACAGGTTTTATCTTGGAAGTGTCAGTGGATGTTGGATCATTCTTTCCTCAAGCTGAGGAATGGAAAAGGATAGACATCAGGAGACTTTCCCCCACGCTTACAGGAGCACGTCTATCAGGAGCATGGAGGGAACCTTTCAGTCTTACTACTGAAATTCAATTAGATCTGAGATTGGCCACAAAAAAGAATGCAACACCCAGTAACATGGTCAAGGGCTAAATCCCTCCAGTACGAGCAGTGCAGTGGAGCACTCACTGCCTGGAACACCAAATAGGTACACTTCTGAACTTTTTTTGTCTACTCCTGTACCATTGCAAATACTTCTTAGAGGAATAAACTAATGAATATGGCTGAGTTCTCAATAAAACAGATCTCCAGTGGCAATTCACTACATACACATATAAGCCAAAGGCATTGTATTCTTTTACGTTTAATTATTCATTATTCCAGATTAAATGTAATCATATAGAAAGCTAGCCGCATTTTTAAATGAAATGAATGCCAAAAAAAACCTAAAAAAACAATGTAAGTGCAATTCCACTAAAATCTGACTTCACATATTAGGTCAACAGCCTGGAAAGACTCCGTACTTTTTTTGTCCTAGTGGCAAAATTTCCCACCAAGCACAGGTAAAGACTAAGGCAAACAATATTTTGACTCACAGTAATCACCTTACCAAGAAATCCAACTGAATTTGGTCCAAAAAATCTGTTCAGATGGGGAGGAAAGAAGCAAGGCTGAAAAGAAACTCTTTAACATTACTCTTCCAATACAGCCACATACAACCAATATAACCACAACTTCAGCACAGACTTGAATGTTTTACAGTATAATCTAACAGAACTGTGTAACTGATACATCAAACTGCAGAGAGGTATAATCCATCCCATAATAAAACTAAGTTTTTAAAAAAGTAATTAAATTCAAAATACGCTTATTGTAATGTATGCTTATTTTAGTACCTGGCACAAGGCAGGAAGTACCTGGTAGTAAATAATGTTGCATCAAATGTCTGCTACTACACTGAAGACTGGATCTGTTACTGGGTTTCACACTTCATTATGGAGGTTTATTTATGGTTTTTGAAAGTTCAGTAGCAGAAAGGGAGGCTGAACCAGTTGCTGAAACAGCGACAGAACCTTTTGTATTACTGAAAAATTTCCCCTTGATTTCCATGGGTATTCAATCAAGCTGAAGAGTGACAAAGACCACAGGTGTTTACTGTGCGATTTTCTCCTACATCAATCCTGGTTTTATCTCACTATTTCCATCTACTATGCCTAGTTTCTCTTTATATAAACTGTAACAGCATCAAAGCACATGTGCCAGTGTTTTGCTGGTCTGGGGCCAGAAGGCAGAGCATTTTGAGGGACTGAAACCCAAAATGATCACGATAAAAACCACATAATTGAGATAAAAAAAAAAACATGGACAACTAACTGCACTCATCTGGGTTTAAGGAGCTTCTTTTTGTAATTACTTTCCTCGCAGTTTTCACCACCAGTGCTACAACAAACATATGAAAAGTAACAAAGCATAAAGTAAGAACATCAACTGTCTTATAGCACTGAAGATGCAGTTATGTTCTGAGCTAGGTCTAGTTTTCAATAAAAAAAATAAAATAAAAAAAAACCTTAAGTGACACACAATTAAAATAAATGAAATAATTTAAATTAAAAGATAAATAACTTTTTGGAATTCCAGCTTGTACTTCACATGATTTTATTATATTCTGTTGCTTAAGATTCCTCAAATAATTTCAATATATTCATTACTCACATAAGTGGTCCTAATGATTTTAGTGGGGCTACTCACATGAAAAAAACCCTTACATGTATGTTTCAACAAAAAAGGTGCGGCCTGCCAATGGAAATAAGCTGAGCTGTAACACAAACCTGCTTCTTGCAATTCAGGAGAGGAAGGAGAAATAACAAGAAAACAAAGGGCACACTGTTCTTCAGCTAATGCTGGCACACACCTAATCAATACAGCCAACTATGAAGGATGTTCAAAGGTATTTATAAAGCTGAACATGAATAGGAAACATTTACATCAAATTACAGCCAACCTCATAGTATTTAACTATCAAAATTTAGTTAATTGCAGTTTTCTTGTAAAAGAATCGTAACATAAATTACATTAAATGAGTCATAATGAATTTAGCATAAGTACAGGATGCATCTGCACAGTGGAGCCAACAAAACCTATTACCTTTCTCTCCTACTATCCTTTTAGACAATCAGCTAGACTACACTCAAACTACTGCTGCAACACATGGTAACCAAGATACTGACATAGACTATTACCAAAATTAAATTGATGCTTTCACAAGTTACCACTGTTCATGAGTCACATTTTTTTTCACCTCCTATTGAGTTTCTGTCCGACTTTAGGTTAAGTTATTAACTGTTCCTGCAAACTTTCAAACAGCCTTTTGTTCTTGTTCTCTTTCTGTAGAAATCAAGAGTGTAGAAAGGAGGGCATTACGAACAAGTTAAGACAGTCCTACGTAAGTTACTGATCCGTCTGAAATGGGGCAGTCCAATAAATCTATCCAGGGCTAGTCCAAAAAGAAAACTATTTATTCCAGTTGTGCACATGAGCAGCAGGTTCTGTAACTGAAAATTTCTCTGAAGAAACCTTTTATCTCATAATCCAAACACATTTTTAAATGTGGCTAGAACTAAATTATTAGGATAAGTAAGAATTTAAGGAGCAATATCTATACATAGATATATTCATATACACGCGGTTTTTTAACTAGCTGCCAAGTCCTTAAAAGCAGATTGTTTTCCATCATAAATTATAATTTTAAAATGAAGAAGAATCACTGTACTTTTCATGGCCAACATTTTCACATCAATTTTGAGCACCTCAGGTTTCAGGTAGATTACTGCAAGTCACCAAAATGTGCCTCTGTAGATAGGAACCAGCCTAGTACTGACATACCCGTGGTAACCGGGTTTAATCTCAAACCAAGTTACTATCAATTATCTTTATTTCCCTGACACCTAGGGCAAAGGCTCTCACGAATTTCAGTGAGCTCCTCAGACCGAGAGCCGTACGTATCAACACCGTTAACCTCGAGGCAAAATTGTTGGTGGCCAGTATTTACCAGGAAAAGGCTGATAGGGCTGCAAGAAAGGTGCTGGGGCTGGTCGGGGAATAGCGTGGGGAGAATGTTCCTCCGGAGACGGCAGAACTTTGCATCCCGTACGTTCCACCGGCCGGAGTTTCCCACGTGGGTAGCTGGCAGCGCAGCGGAGAGTAAGCAAGCGAGCAGATGCATGCTGGAAAAACAGCGCTGAAAACCACCGAGGCCAGGAAGCAGATGTGAGGAGGGCTCTACACACCTGCAGGCGCAGGGGCCACGCTACAGGGCCATTTCCCAGCTGGGATTGCATCAGCACCGGCGGCAGGCTCCGCCGGGAGAGCCGTTTCTGTCCCGCGGGGCCGCTGTGCCGCCGCCAGCCTCAGCCCGCCAGCCGCGGGAACGCGACCCCGCGCCCCCGCCGGACCAGGGTGGCACGGATCGGGCGGGCCTGGACCTTACCTGGGATGTACCTCGCCTCGTCTCCGAGCCGCACCTCGAAGTCCTTCCAGGGCTGTTCCAGCCCCGCGGCGACCCACGCGGCCGTCTCCTCCCCTCGCCCTCCTCGCCCGCAGGCTCGCCGCCGCCGGGCTGCCGCCGCGTGGCGCCGCGGAAGCCACGGGCGAACTCCGGGAAGGTGATGGCCCCGTCGCCGGTCGCTGTCGAGGCGCTGAAGATGGCCCTCGCCTCGGCCGGCGCACCGCAGCTCGGCGCACAGTGCGCGAATCCTCCGCTCGATGCGGCCCGAGCCGTTGGCGTCGCACGCCAGGAACAGGGAGCGCAAGCGGGACAGTTCGTCCCCCGCCGCCTCGGGATCCATCGGCCGGCGCCGGGGGCGCGGATCCTCCGACCGCGACCGGCACTGGACAGGTCGGGACGGGCGAAGGCGGCGACCCGACCTGCGGCCCACTGGGGCGGGACAGGTCCTGCTCCGCCCCGGCGCCCCGCGGGGCCGGGCGCGCCAGGGAGGCGGGAAGCGGAACGCAGGTGGCGGCTCTCGGCCGGGATAGGTGCCTGGCAGTGCCGCAGCGGGACAAAGCAGGGCGACCCCGACCCGGCAGCCGGGAGATGCCGATCCCACTTTCCCCTTTGCCCTTGCACAGGTGACTGTTTACAGCATCGCGGACTAAAACACACGTCTCACCCCTCTGCAGCACTCAAATATGAGTCCCGATACTCTGCGGTCACCATAGGGTGTTAAATCTCACTTCTGTTTTCCCACAGAATAAAAATACTCCTGATGTTCTTGAAGACCAAGAATCCAGGATGACACAAAGTTTCAACAGATAAATTCTTGCTGACCACGAATAGTCATGGAGTTAAGCAGTGCAAGTATGTGCTCACCGATATCCCACCACCAGTAATTTAGAAATGTGCATTGTTAAAATACCAGATTAAACTGAACATGCAAAAGCTGCATTCAAGTCAATAAACCAAAAGAGCTAGATTTTCAGTGCTCTGTGAAGAACTACCATCTGTCTTCCTTGACAGAAGTCAAGGTGTCTTCCTTGACAGAAATCAAGGTGCCTCCCTTGTTGAAGTCAGACTCAAAACTTAGACTCCATTTGAAGCAGTTAAATTTTAACAGATTTTTTGAAACTATTATTTCCCTACACTTATTCTTGTTTATGTCTATCTACAAATGTAAATTGTGCATACCAAAGTTGCAATAAACAGAATACAAATCCTACTGTCAAAACAACATTTTCTTATTGACCAAAACAGAGCCTAAGCTAAGTATGTGTGATCCAGCAAAGCACAGATAGTCCAGACCTCTCCTTAGAATAAATCACGTACTGTAAATGGGAACTATAAAGTACTCCTCTGCCTAAGAGATGTGGAATGCCCTCAAAGGAAATTATAGTTTTTTTAAAAAGCTTTTGACTACTTTCTTGTCAAAGTTAAGCAGGCAAACAACTTATCTCTAGACAATAAAAAGTTTTGTGAAATGTTCCCTGCACTTTAGAGAAATACAGTTGTTAAATAATTTGAAAAATAAATTTTAGCTTAAAAATGTTAGATAATTTATGATTTTATACATTTTTGTCATTATATTTCCACCACACAACTGCAGAACTACTAAAAGTAGTAAAGTGGTATGATCATCAGTTTCCTAGTGTTTTTGTTAAACAAAACTAATTTAACAAAAGTATTCTTCCTATTCCATGGTCTCTCATCTGCCCATCAAATTTTTATACCCAAAGAGTATCATGAAGACCTTATGGGGTTGATGAAGGGTTGTTCAGCCATCCAAAGAGACAAATTTATCTCGATTATACAACCCAGCTCTCTGTCCATAGAAGCAGGGACATTTGGTTGTCAGAGTGAACAAGCTCATGAGCTGACCTGCAACAACCTCATCCTAGGCTGAATTGTGTCTGACTACACAGACAGGGAGTTCTCACTCCAATCAATGTGCTCACCTTCTTGTTTGCTTTTGAGGCTGCAGGTTTATAAATTGACATTTCTCAGTAATCCATATCCTACCCACTCTTTTACTCACTCTCTTGTGTGTATCTCTTGTGGTAGTGACCACCTTGGGCTGCTACAGTAGAGGGCATAGACTTTAGACATGTAGTGTCTGTTGGGATTTTTTATTCTTCTTTTTTTTTTCTTTTTTTTTTTCTCCAATAGTTAACATCATCTTTTCCCAAGCTTTTCTATGTAACACTGTTCTGGATACTACTTAGGATTTGATCATTCTACTGTGAAGGTCTGAATTTTTGTTTTCATTAAAGGCTTTATGTTTCTCCCTATATGATGCAAAGTAAATAGTAAGTAACACTGAAAACAAACAGAAATCTTCACATTAACATTCCATTTTTAATCAAACCATATGAAAGTCTTGCAATAAAATTTGCCAATACAATGCCTACATGCTTTGTGCTTTAATGTGCAGGTAGTTCCTTGTGTATTCAGTGGATTTCATTGTCTTTGACATCTCCCTTATTTCCGCTGTTAGAGAAGTTTTGTCACACAAATCTCAGGCACTGGCATGAAGTACAGTGTCTCATTTAGCACTGTCATGGCATACATATATTCTGCTAAATAGATGATACAGCGTTGTACAGTACCACACAAGTGCTTGCTTGGCAGTCCATGGTTTAGTTGAATAGTCCTAACACAACAGCACAGAGACAACAAATAAAAGATGCTTATTTGATGAGACATGAGAATGACTGGTGAGATCAGGATTCCCAGCAGGCAATGACAAAACAATGCTTTGTTCTGAAATCATGTGCCTATTCTTAGAAGGATCTGCCTCTTCAAATCCAGGTCTAAATTAAATAAATATGTAAATACACTGTTTCTGTGGTATAGTAGTTTTATATTCATAAGGGAAGTTTCAAATTCATGCATAAGATACCAAGGCTACAGATACAGATATACCCAGCATGCAATTTTCAGTCTATCATCTATTTTACTTCACTGTTCCATGAAACACATCAGGTAGCCCAAGCATCTATTTGGCTGAAGAGGCAGAAGAGAACATTAAGTCATGCTCAGGAGCTGCAGAGAGGCCTAAGGCAAAAGACGAACAAGAAAGGATTCATTGTATCACTACTAAAGTGTCCTATTGTACTGAGCGGGAAAAGGTGGGGTTTGACACTGTTATAGAGACAGAGGTTAAACAGAGCAGATTAGAAGAGACAGGTAAACCAGAAAATGGAGGTGTGTCAGCACATGATATCAAGACCTAGCATTGTCACAGGAAGCAAAAGAGCAGAGGAGCTGAGCTGACTGGTGGGATAAGCTACTGAACCTTTAAATTCTATTTGAATATATGTGATCTCTGAAAGTAACTATGCAGAACTGTGGACAAGCCCAGAAAAGCTGGAGTGCTGTGCTCCAGGCAGATCCCATGCCTGATATAGCAGGCCTCTTCCCATGCCTCTCTATGTATTGTTTGACGAATCCTACATACATACTAAAGGAAGATTTTTAACTTGGACATCAAGCATTTATAAGGTAGGAATTAGAACATAAATTGGAACAATTATTACTTCATCATTATTGTACATGGCCTGTGGCATTATTTACAATGTCATGCATGCTATTCAGATTTTACACTGAAGACTGAATATACCTACTGTATAGTACCTGCATATACAAACTAAACTTCTCAACTAGTGATGGTTAAGAAAGTGAATGGATCCCTCTGTGCTTGCAATTACTTTCTTATTCATCTTCTTCTGTTTTACATTTGGGTAGTTTAAGCAACTTAGCATAACCTGTGTGATTTACTTGGAGAGTAGACAAGAAGTAAAATACAATCATCTAGTAATAAGGAATATCTCACTGAAAACAGTTAATATTACACACAGATATCATACTCGCCACAACACCATGAAAACTAATTAATTAAAACTGCTTCAATTTCTCCCCCAACCAACACAAACTTTACTTGTTCTGCAAGCCACTATAATATGTCAAAGCATCACAATCCTGGTGTGACACTCTACCTCTTCCTTCTGTACCTGTACCTGTTCATGACCTCTTCATCTCCCTTCTAACAGGAAGGGAGGCACATTATATGCAGGCAGATGAAGGGCAAGGTGAGAGGGTGATGTGCACAGTGGAGTGGCTCTGGGAGGTCTCCAGCAGATGAGCCGTGGTAGTTGATCTTCCTCCTCACTGCTTCCCTTCTCTGCCTTTCTCATACTATGTCTTCATTTGCACTTTTTATTAACTTAGTGGCATTTTCTTTGCTTCAATGCATCAAACTATGCTTTGATGGCGTTAAACAAGCTGTTTATTTAGTTATATCCAGGCAGATACCTTGTGTGAAGCTCATAGGATAGGTGCGCATATTAAATGCCAAGTCTAGGCAGATTACAAAACATAGCTACATACTCTCATTCACTACTGAATATTTTAATACTGCTGAAGATGATTCACCCTTATTCTCTTCAATTAAAAACTAAGGATAATATATCTGGTAACAGACATCATGTAGACTTTGTTTCTCAGATAGACTGCATCATTATGACCTCTTAAAGGGAAAAGGCACAATCTATGTCTTTAAAAACTTAGTCCAAGACAAAGAAATAAAGACATTTGCATGATATTGCACAACGTGCATAATATCCACAATTTTATGCTTCTACTTTATTAAAAAAATGAGACAGAAAATGATAATAAAAGTTCTTTGTCAAAGCAGAGGTACATTTAAAAACCAAAAATGTCTCTCAGGATACACAGATTTTTTTTTATTCAACTAAAAATTTGTCAGTTCAAACAGTGAGATAATGAGTTTCATGGATTTATTGATTACTTTAAAAAACTTTGGACAATGACTGAAGTGGAAATTTTTCACTTGAAACGTATTCAGCCTTCAAAAGGGACTGGAATTAATATTGGCACAGCAAAGGACTCATAGTGCTCTTGCAGAAATGTTTAGATATTAACAGCAAATGAGGCATGACTATCTCACATTCTTTTTGAAAGCTTGCCTGTTGTGATCAACTGAATAGACAGAGAGATGCTGAAAGGACCAATAATGACTGACGAGTCCTTCAGCCCCAAAATAACAGAAAAAGACTGTTCTAAAGACATGTTGTTACACTGCCAGTTCTCAAAATCTCAAAATCTTGTATGCATGGCTTTTGCTTTCCCTATTAATCTTTGGAGTAATATAACCAGCTAGCAATAAACACTTATGAACTTCATCTTTTACAGGAAGCCTTCCTTGTTTTTGGAAGTCTACATGCTTTTTGCAATTCTAATAGTTAAAACCAAATGGCATCTACTGATGAAACTTCTTTGTTCTTAAAGAAATGGGCATCTCAAAATGCAATTCCCTACGTGCAATTCAATTAA